ATGCACGACCGTAAAGCCGAGCATGCTTTTTCAAGGAATTTGGACTAACGTACATGTATTTGCTAGCGCTCGAGAGCGCTTGCAATAATTTTAGAAACTGTAGACAGCCGGTATTAAACTTTGATCGAGAAAAACCGAAATCGGAAGAATATCGAGAGAAATCGTAAGGCGTATTTTAGGATGGTAATTTCGTAAAATTGCGCAAAAATCGTAAGGGTTGGCATCTCTGCCTGTGTGTACCGACAACTTCAGTTGCCAGTGAGCGAATCTTTTCAACTGCAGGTGACTGCCCAGAGACCCTGCCTTTCAGTGGAGCAAGAGGATAAACTGATCTTCTTAAAAAAGAACCATAAGTGTCCATAGCTGTTGAACTGTTGTGTAACCTGTTATCTAGTCCCAGATGTGTTCAGCAGACGCAGTCACTTTGACATTTATTTTCATGATTTCCATACATTTAAGGAATAACTGTCTTATTTTTCGAATTCATGAAGTGATCAATGGATTGGCTTGTGTGATAATTTGCATAAACGCCGAAGGCGTTTATGCATAAAATTATCACACAAGCCAATCCATTGATCATCTTCATGAATTCGAAAAATCTGACAGTTATTCCTTATATTTACATGCTTTGATTCCGCCAATCCACGGGCTCCAAGCCTGCTTCTCTCTAGGTGTTGTCCCGCCCTGCACGTGGTTTTTTTTTTTTTGGAACCGCGCCAAGACATTCATGAGGAAATAAATTACATTTACAATTGGTAATTTTATCTCGGACAAAGACATTGGAAATGTAAATATTTTATAATAATTGTGCCAATTCTTTTTTTATTGCACAAACACTTTATAGAATATTTTATTTTTTTTATGAATTTTATATTTGTTATCTTTAAGTAAAGGAGTTCAACGTAGGGATTATTGTTTTTCATTTATGATGAGGAATATTTAGACTTGTTAAGGTTATTTTAGGTTTAATCGAACCGAATCGAAAAAAAACGAACCTTGTCATTCATAATCAATACCCTGAATCGTCCCCAATCCTTGTCGGTACCATGAAATCCATGCTCAGATAATTATTAATAATAGATTATAGTGGTTCTATTCGATTTATCGAATGTGGATTCCAAGGTCACCTCAACGATGCCAAACAATCTGCCCATCTTCCGGAAATGGGTAGAGCTGAACTACCGTTCCCTGATGTTTGCGTTTTGCTAGGTGACAGAATTTATCCAAACAGACACCCTTACGTATTATAACCCCTTTCACTATACAACAGATACACGGGTGTTGCTGACTATGACAGAAGAAAATCCCGGAAATTGAATTGAAATTGGAAGTCAAGCGGATCAAAATTAAAATAAAGTTTCTATATTAATTCACAAAGGTGCTGTGTTTTGCAAATTTTGAGATAAAATAAATAATTCAAAAACATTTTACAGGCGATCGAAAATTTGCCTTAAGCCTAAGTCTGTTTCATGATCCTGGAGCCTGGTAATTTTTTTCATTTTCAAAATACTATGGAAAACGTGAAATTACAAACAGTGATTGATATCAAATTAAAATTAATTAAAATGATACGTATCTGTAGAGGGCATAAATCTAAGAAAAATTCATAAATGCATTTTGTCATTTGGGAATGATGTTCTGTTTTTATCTCTGAATTCTGTCTTAATGTGATTTTCAGTTTTAAAAAAACACCTTATTTAGTATTATACGTATCTCAGACGCTGAAAATTTATTTTTCACATCAAGAAAAATGAGAAAGGAATTAAAAATGGTAGATAATTATAAATATGCTTGATAAAGACCTCGTAAGATCTCTCGCCACATTTTTTACATGAACATTGATTTCTTGAAGTTTTATACTCGAAAGGGACTATCAACTGTTCTTCGTTTTGTAAACAAAAGATTCCATCCCAATCGTTGACCCAATAAAAGATAGAAACGAATGAGACAGAAGTTAATCCGAATTGATATTTTCCTTTGTACACGATTCCATTTCACAAGTTTTTCAGAGTTGTCGCTCTTCGTCACAAGGTAGCGTTTTCAGCAGTCCCCATTACAGTGCTGACATTCCGTAAATCGAGAAATTATGCCCTACGAAAAGAGATGGCAGGTACTATTCTATCTTTTGCTGCAGAACAGTAGCTAATGGTTTTATTTTTTAATCTTTGACCATAAGGCCGGAAAGTAGAGAATTTCTCCTATCTCTAAGAATGCGCAAAATATCTTGCGCCGTAAATTACACATTTTTTGCATTACGGGATCTGTAGCGTTATGGTCAAAGACATATATTATAGAAAACAATAAAGTCTACAAATCTGCAGCTTTGTTGTCTTTGGATGTGTAGTACATGGAATAAAACATGAAGGTTGTCCCTGCCAAGCACCTTTCCGAATGTTTTGCATCCCAGTCCAGGAAGATGCCATTATGTGATAGCGCAAAGTAATGAATAAAAGGATATTCAAACCTAAAACAAGATGTGTATGAGAAAGAATATTCATCCGGCCACAACAAAGTTCGAAAAAGCTATTTTAGCATGTAAGTCACAGTCAAGGTCACAAAGTCATTGACTTTGATGCCGTTTGCAAGATCTAAATTAGTGGAGTATGCATACCAAATATGAAGTCGCTATCTTCCAAGGTTTTAAAAGCTTTTTTGAATTGCATGTTCTCGCATACTTTTAACTACTGGTCAGAGACCAGAAGAGCTTATGCGATAGTAATGCGTCCGTCCGTCTGTCTGTCTGTAAACAATTTTTCAAAATGCTACTCCTCCTACAGTTTTGGTCCGACTTCCATATAAGTTGGCACACAAGTAGACTACACTAAAATACACAATTCTATGCATCGGTTTTGAATTTCGATAACGGTGTTGCCATGGCTACTAAAATAGAAATTTTTGTGAAATGCTTTCAAAATGCTACAGTTTTAGTTCGATTTCAATATAACTTGTACACAAGTAGACTACACTAAGATACACACATAATTCTGTGCATCAATTTTTGATTTCGATGAACGGTGTTGCCGTGGTTACTAAAAATAGAAATTTTTGTGAAATTCTTTCAATTGAAAATGCTACTCCCCCTACAGTTTTGCTACAGTTTTGCTCTGATTTCAATATAACTTGGCACACAAGTAGACTATACTAAGATACATAATTCTATGATCGGAGTTTATTTTGATGAGCGGCAAGGATCATTTTTCTATTTATTGCTGTTTTAAAGTTTCAAGTCCCAACTGCTACTTTTCTCTTCCTTTGTTTTAAGTATAAAAACCAGTAGAGCTACAGTCTCGACAGAGACTTCTGGTTTAAAGTTGATATATGTTTTATAACTTTAGCTGTAAGTCACCACAGTGAAATTCTTATTTCTCCTATAAATGTTATGAAAGAGGTCCTATTTAAATGGTATGATGTTTTTAAATTATATTACAATTGTATACCTGTAATGTAAACTAGATACCCCTTACTCTTTGTCTGACTCTTCTTCATCTGATTCATCACCAGGGAGATCTCTGAAGAGTCTGTAAGCTGTTTTCAGAACTTGCTAGAAATATTCCTGAGTCAAAGGTGAAAGGTTTCTTCCAAATGTTGGAGAATATTTTCAATGTTTTGTTCTGCTTAAAGCTTCTTCCAAGGACTTAGACATTGTAACCTTTGTAGAAAACACTGGTCATCACACTCTTTAGATCCGCTTCAATGTTATGTCTTGTAAGTTTTCTTTAAGCAAATCATCAAAATTTTGACAAAGCTTTATCCTGCTATAACAAATTGTCATTCCAGCTTGCACAGTTGCCGCAACAGTCCAAGGGCGACCCAGCGAACACGACACTATCAAACCCGACGTGTTTCACAATGGCTAGACGCAAGCAACCATCTCTATTCTTGCAGTATTCTACCATCACTTAGGACATTCCTTTTCTGTTTGCAGCAATGTCACCATTGTTGTAGATAAGGGCTTGTGCTTGTTTCCCATTCCTTTCGGCTCTACTCAATTCCTATAGATACTTTTCCAATGCGGTGGATGGTCGACAATGTACTATATGTACACTGGAGATACTTGGTGTATCTAAACCTAAACCCAAAAGCTAAAGTCGTCAGAATCAGTCGGATTTTGTAATTTTCCTTCCTCAATTCTGAAATGATGTAGTGCTACATTTCCTGGGTGTAGTAAGTGTGGAACTGAGCAAAGATCCTGTTTTCAGGCGTCCTTTTATCAACTGGTTGATATTGCTTATCATTTAATACATATGACGCATAATGAAAAGCATATCCTATAGCTTCCAGACTCTCCATGAAACATATGGAGATACACTCTGTAACGAACAGAATTCAACATCAAAAGTCCATAAAACAATACAAAATAGGAACAGAGCAAACATAGCTCCAAAACATCAGAGGTGGGATCAGGTGCCATGGAGCAGGGATCATCCCCTGCCGACCGGTCACACCCACCGTGTGCTCGTTGTCATGATCGGGATATAAATCCGTCGTCAATTCAGCAGCTAAAGTATATTCTAAACATTTTTTAACTGTTTGAACTTTTCAATTTTAAATCACTTTGCACTTTTACCACGTCATTATTCATGTTTAATATTATCCGGATATCATGACGATTTGCTTTCTTATCTCCCATGCTGGGGAGTAGTCCGAAAAATCTGACGTTTTCCTGGCTTTTTTACGATTTTTATATTTTACATGCCAGGAAAACGTCAGAACCGGCTCCATTACGAAAACTGGAAAATCGCCGCCTCCAACTGGAGGCGGCGTTATCGGCTCGGTTTTAAATGCTTGACAGTCAAGTTGTCTGTTTAACTTATAATAAATCAATAACACAGTTATTCTTGTACTCACTTATTTCACTTTTATAAACCTGTTCATCAAATAAACAGTTTGTAGAACAATTTTTATCGGACTGTCGAGATTTGTTTTGATTTCGTGCATTTTGAAATCTCGCGAGACTACATGGTGTTCCCCCAAGCAGATTTAAAAATAGATAAGACGTCATGGCTGCTACAGCAGCAGATAAAATTTTGCGAGATAAAGGTTACAATTTTGGTATTCGGGAAGATCAGATGAAAGTAATATCAAGTATTTTGGAGTTGAAGGACACGTTTGCTATATTTCCCACAGGTTTTGGGAAAAGTTTGACATATATCTTGCCACCTCTCATTTTAAATGAGGTAACGTAAATAAATTCAATAAACAGAGAGAGAGAATATGACCAACCGATCTCCATCTTTCTATTTTTACATTTATTCACTCCAGTTATTCACCAGTCTATCTAAATCTTATAATTGATCATTATAAGTGGCGCTTCAATTTGATTCTGAGAAGGAGTGGGGGGGGTGGTTGTCGGCTAGTTCAATTTGCACTGGATTAGTTCAAGACTTTACCAAAAATTTTTAATATTTGATGATCCAGTATAAGGGAAAGCACCCCCCCCCCCCCACTTTTTTGCAGTAAGTAATGTTACATTGAAAATGGGGGCTGTTCCCAAGGTTGGGGGGGGGGGGCTTAAACACCACCCCACCCCAACACACTCTCAATTTGCTTCTGGTGCCTATGCCCTATGGTCAGAATATTTCCAAGAACCAAGAGCTGTTTGTTTGTTTTTTTCTTTATAATCCGCATCCCCATCCCCCTTCAGAATCAAATTATTGCCTCTATTCATGAATATTCACATGATTAATTTATACTTAAATATGTATGTATATGAATATTATAGACTCAGCCAGACATTCATCAATTCTTTCTACAATTAAGAAACAAAACTAAAATTTCAAATGCAAATGATCTATTCTTGGTATAATCATATTAATACATGTATAAGCTCTCTATACAATAAATAATCATGGTTTTCAATCGCAAGTGAGTTAATAAATCCCAAATATTAAAACCATACTTTAAGGCACAATTTTATCACATATAGAGATTAAAGAAGGTAAAAGTGTAGTGGTTCTGGCCACCCCAGAGGCTGTTTTGTCCAAGCAGTGGCGATCCATTATTTTGGATGTGAGACAAAATATCGGCATGGTTGCTTATGATGAAGCCCACTGCATATCTGAATGGTAAATACCACATCTAAACACCATCCAAAACTGTAAAAAAAATAAATAAATAAAAAGTAAATTACTTGAAACATTGTGTGATACTCGTGAGCTAGTGTCTGATATTAACTGGGAAGCAGCAGACAAATTTCCATTAGAAAGCTAACTTGAGCCTTAAGCTTAGAAGAGCTTAATAAAAAAAATCTACTTCAACCTATTTGTCATCTCCCTCGGGAGATGACATATTAAGATTGTATGCCGGAAGTGAAGTCCTAGCGTAAGCCTCCATTAATCTTTCGGGAGTCCTCGATGTTTTACAGAGTTCCAAGTAGCCTGTAAACTGGTTTTCTTTTAGAAGAACTAGCTTAGGAGTGTGCTATCTACTTTCGGTTTAGGCCTATTTGAAAGCCAAGGAAAATTTAGAAAAGAAGTACGATGCTCATAAATATCTATAGTTTCGGTGTGTCGTATACATGTATGTATTGATCCTCAATACTATGCCTTATTAAATGGGTAAGCCACAAAGAGAATTGACAATGACGTGATTTCTATATATAGATTTGTTGACGGGAAGAGGGAAAACTGGTTCTCGCACAAAAGAACAAGCTTACAATTAGATTCTGCAAAAAAATGTATGAAGAGTGGTCAACGCTAATTTTATGTTATTTTTTTAGTCTGTAATTGGATTTATTAAATTAATTCCTGTCAAACTTTAATGATTAGCTGCTTTTAAATGAAGGATAATTATTGTTGATAATTCCGTATTGTGTTAAGAAAATATAGTTCAAGGAAAGTATTTGAATTTAAGTAAATTGTAAACACCCAGAAGCACAAAGACCGCTAGAATGAAATTTCACCAAAAATCGCCTTGGGTGCTCTGGCAGACGTCCATGCTTTCCATATATGTACTGCGGCTAAAAGAAACTGCGTACTTTACTGTGGAGTTTGCTGAATAAGTCATTTGGGAACTTCAGGTGTAATAATCTATATATTCATTGCATTAAAATATTTCTCTTTCTGTTTTATTTCTTATTGACATTATGACATTATTGATACCAAAGAGATGACATTTCAGGCTTTCTGGAAAGCCAAACTTGTTATCATATTGCAATGAGATTCATAGTAGCATCTGTTTAGTTTATTATTGTACTTTAAAACTACTGCAATAAATTTCAAAGACATTTAGATGAACATAGTAAATTTAAAATTCAGGGGATTGGACTTCAGAGAGGACTGTTGCAAGATTGGTTTACTTCAGAGCATTATTGAGGCTCCAGTTCTGGCTTTATCTGCAACAGTCACAAAAGAAATAAAGAAAGACATTGGCAATGTACTTGGGCTTTCCAGTAACACTGTAGTAATTGCTACTTTACCTGACAGGTATAATTTCATCACACATACATTTTGCTAAGACATGATACATACATTTTCATCACACACAAGATATGAGATATACACATGTACCTACATAACTGTAAATTCACATATTTTCAAGGGATCAAATTTTCGTGGTTTGAGGAAAATATTTTGGTTCGTGTGAATTTGATTAAGTGGTTGAAGAATTGTTCAGTGATATTATCTGTGAAAAATTGCTTTATGTGGTGGACATAAATTCCTGGGTATCATACCTTGAAAACAACGAAAATTAAGGTCATTGGCAACGCAGAGTTTCCGGAGAAAAAAGGTTCAATCATAGGTTTTTTCACTTATCAAAAGTCATTGAGAGTGATCTCCCGTAAGGAATTCTCTAGGCGCTGAAAACAAATAAAGCATTTGTTACAGACTGAGAGGTAAACAAAAGCATGTGTGTTTTTTTATCGGATATATTCAACTCTACAGTAATAAAAGAAAAGCAGCGATGGGTTTGTTTACATTGTGCGGAGGGGGCAGACAGTCAACAGGTCGTCATTAAGAATAGGTACATGAATGTTGGGAAGTGCAAAGTTGTGAAATAATTATGCTGAAAGTGGTGATAGCTAGAGAGACCAGATGAGAACGATTCTATAGGTTATGTGAACGAGACACCATTAAAACTTACTAAAAATCCTTGCAAAAATGCTTTATGACAGTTTGTTTCCAATAAAGTAAATAATAGAATAGAAACAAACAACCAGTCTCTTGATCATTATGAATATTGATTAGATGTTAAGGGAAGTAACTCAGAATTAATGAACAGTGCTGGTATTTCTGTGTTTTGTTTCAATATTTGCATTTTCAGCCAAATTAAATGCATGTCATCGGAAGTTAGGTTTCAACAATGTATTTTATGTATAAACCTTATGAAATAAATGGGTTTTGGAGAAAACGTATGGTTAAAAATTATATAGGCCCATTTTATCAACATTTTACATATGAAATGCATTGAAAATTGTAAAAACATAGATTTGACAAAATCTATAAAGGAAGGCTGGCTTGATGGGTAAAAAGGACCTGAATTAAACATGTTTGGTACCATTAAACCTGTTCAAAAAATCTTGAAAAATTCTATACGAAAGTCAGAAACGTTGCCAATGTCCTTAAACCCCTACAAAAATTGGTGATTCTACAGTACATGGTTTTAAACAAAAACAACTGAGAATACTCGTGCATCAGTCATGGTCTTATTTTTTTTAATAAACTTATTCCAGACCCAACATATTGATTGACATTTGCATCTCTACTGAAAATTATGAAGAAGAGCTTCAGTGGGTACAAGATGCAGTTGGAAAATATGGTAAAGTTTGCAAGAAAATAATAATCTATGTTAACTCTATATCAGCTTGCGAGGGAATATACATATGGCTGCATTCTGCTCTGTGCAAGAACGCATACAGTGGGCATGTTTGTTTAGAAAACCGACTGGTAGAAATGTTTCATGCCAGCACTGATGTAGAGTCTAAAGGGAGGATAATAGAATCCTTTTGCAGGCCAGGTGGTACTGTCAGGGTATTGATTGCAACAGTCGCCTGCGGAATGGGCATGGACATTCCAGACATTGCCTTGTGTGTGTTGTGGGATCTGCCACCGTCCATGATGCAGATGTGGCAGGAAATAGGTAGATGTGGGCGTGATGGCAGAGATAGTCTTGCCATCTGTTATGCTTTTCCAAGAAGCATCTCTTTACCCTGCCAGAAGTGCCGGAAAAGCAACCACAGAAAATGTTCCTGCGAGGCAGGGCAATATATCAGGGAGTTAACCACCACTCAGGGATGTTACCGGACACACTGCCTGGAACCCTTCAAGTTAGAGAACATTGATAGTCATACAATCAGTGATGCAAACAAAACATATGTACTTCTTGTAAAAGTATTGGTATGTGTTGTTGTAACTTGTGCAAATGTTGCACAAATTGTTCGAGGAAATGTTCATGCCCCAGTAAAGTAACAAAACAAAATTTTCTGACAAAATTTCTTCTTCTGTAATAAAGTAATTTCAGTAATGCCTACTCTTTAAATGTTCTTTTAGAAAAATGAATTATCGTATACTATCTCTTACTTCAATAGTGCATCATGTGCAGTCGTCTGTTGTTAGCCATTTTCTTTCTTAGTCTTTGGATTCTGTCCCTCATACCCTTGGGATGAGAAACAGAAAAAGTTGCTGGAAAGGATTCAAAACCTTTGAATGATCTTCCTTTTTCCTCCTTAAAAAGAGAGATAGGTGCCAGCAACTCTACCAACTTTAGAACGTCTCCCGAGTCATCAGGGCTTGAGCTCCTCCTGGTGTAGGAGTGAACAGATGAGCAGACTATTGCATCCTGATACATTTTTGAGAGAACTTTTCCTGTAATAATAAATAACATTCATTCCCAGTTGTCTATTTTTTCGTTATAATACTGTGCATGTAAATTAACAATGCTGCAAAAACAGTTACATGTATAAAAAAAAAATACAGTGATTTATTCAATTTTCTGTTAAAAGATAAAGTTTGATACCTATTCCAAGCATTTGACTATGTCTTGCAATTGTGGCATCGGTAAGTTGACCCCCAGCATCTCTGCTATTTTCTTTGTACTCTATATTGAGGAACTCATTATACAAGTCCTTGGGAATGTTGTTGTTGCCACCTCTGATATTGACTGTTCGGTTCCAGATCAACTGGTGTCGAAGCCTCTCAGAAACAGCACCCGCAACATTGGACAGAAGACGATGGGCATATACAAAATATTTCGGATGGTGTTTCTCATAGAATTCCATTAAATCAAACTTCCAATGCCGGATCATCCTCAGACCATCGTTTTCTGATACAGCATCAGCCCTTGCAAGATCATTCAGTCCTCTCTAGAGAAGTCTGTGAGCGTATTCCTTCTTCAGATCTCTGAATCTGTCTGAAACAGAACTCTTGTTCTTTCTTGAATTCTTCAATCTCCTACAGTCCTCAGAACAAAACCAGTCTCCTGTGCATAATGTACAATGTAAATCAGTACCTATACTTGTATCTACCAACATTACATACTTTTAAAACAACACAACAAGCACAAATGTACAAATTTTAGTAAATATGAATCATAAAATACTTGATCTGTCATCGTAAGAGAGTGTATATGTTGACAATGACCCTACTAAATAAGCATGTATATATAAGTACATAGGGTTACTGAACTTAAAAGGATGAAATAACTCACCTTCAGGGACATCTTCTTCAGACATGCCAAGACAGTAAATGTGGAACCATTGCCCATTTCTACACTTGGTGTAGGAACAAAATAGCATCACCCCTCCAATGTCTGTTTTACAGGAGCAGTATTGGAAGCCCTCTTGACTTGGTTCACTGGCAAGTTTCTCCTTCGTGTTCGGTTTCTCATAAACCATGTTTACAATGTCAGCTGCCAAAGACAACAGGAAATCTTGCCGTTCACTAGCACTGCTTGGTAGTGCTTCCGGGATCGCATCAACTGAGTCAACACCCAGGAGGTCCATAGCTGCTACTACTGTAAAACCTTTGGTAGCAAAGTGGAGGAGCTCAGCCGCTTTATTAAAACACTCCATGATGTTTCCTGACACTCCTTTATGGTCAAAGTACTGTTTGATGTTGTACAATGTTCCCTTCTCACGATGGCTCTAAAACTTAAACAATTCGTCATATGTTTCCTAAAATATGAGAAATCCTGATCAGTGTAAATGGAACTCAATTACTGAAATCTTACACCTAAAATACAATATTTTTGAGATTTTATATATGTATGTCTTCATTAAATACTGATGTTTTAAAAATAAATTTCTCAAAATAAAAGATCAAACATAAATGATTCATAAAATTTACTGGATTTACCTGCATGAACATTAATCTCCTGTGCCATTCTTGAATGGCAGGTTCAAACATCTCTAATCTGGCCCATTGATCCCCTCCATTAATGCGGGCTCTTTGAGCTCCATCAGCCCGCTCACAGCTAAATCCATCACAGTACAGGACAAATGGTAAAGGTCTCCCATTTTTATCTTGTGGAGCATATTATCTATAATTGTCAAGTATCTGAATCATTTCAGCTGTCTTGGTCTCATCAAACTGGAGAATCCCCAATGGAACCTAAAATATCAAATTCAAAAGATCTTTTTTTTTTTTTAATTTTGTCATTGTCATTGTTCTGCTAATGTACGGTAGTGAACACACCTTTCTGTATAAATTATATTAGGTAAAACTTACAATTTCACTTTTGACACTTGATTCTTTCATGTAAGGATGTTGGATTTTCCACTGACTAGACTCTTTAAATTCAGCAAAACATTCCATGTGAGAAGCTAGAATTTTGGCCACCATGTATGAAAGCTCTAACTTCATGTCCTTCTCATCACTATCGCTACGGAGATAGGCTGTGTCTGGAATATTCATGATGTCATCAGCTGTAGGAGTCTTGTTACTGAGTTCATAAACTGGTATTCTGTCCCTAGTTGCAAAAGCCTGAACCATGTTAAACATTTTATTCTGTTTTCCCCTTACATGGTGTCTCACTCCAACCTTCTGGTTAACGTTATCAAAAGTTATGTCAACGAAAAATGACTTCGTGACATTTGGATTGGGCATCATAAAACTGGAATCTGAAGTGAAAACAAATTTGTCAGGATAAGAAACATGTTATATGAAAACCATATAAGAAGCAAGCTATATTGCAAAGACATGAAAAAATTTATACAAATAAATTTCTTTACAGATTCAAGTCTCAGGCTATAGTTTCTTTTAACGTCTTTTTTTTTTTTACACCTGTGCTCTCATCACTATTGCTAAGTGATTCTGCCATACACGAATTGGACCTTGATTCTGTGCTTTCAGACGTGTCAGTATAACTGTCAGATGAAAGGGAATCTACATCTGACAAGTCCATCTCTATATCCTCCTCCTCATCCTCCCAATCATCCTCAATTTCCTGTGGTGCATCAATCTCAGGTGTACCAACAGGTTGATTAACACCTACAGCTGGAACTTGCTGATCTGCATAATAAAACATCTTTATTAAGATATGTTTTTTTCATCAAAATATTATCATAATTACTTGATATTCCTTATTCTTGGCAAGATGCCAGTTAAATTGTAGATTGACAATATTACACACCTATCTGTAAAGCAGTGATCCTGTTCCTCCAGTCAAGGACCTTGTTGTCATACTTCTGTCTGAAGGTATCAATGGAATTGCGTGTGGCTGAAATTCCAAGACACCATCCAAATTTGCTAAATGCATCAAATACCTGCAAAAAAAGGTAGTTTCTTAAAAAAAAAAAAACAGCTAATGATATACATATACAGACTTTGAGCCATGCTTAATATTCAGCCTGAGAGAGTCATTTTAGCTCAAGTTCAAATTAATACTGAGACTATCTTTCTTTAATAAAAACATTTGTACAATAGAAACCTACACAGTTATAAATATCAGTAGGAGTCTATTTTTTTAAGCCATAAGGAGTAATGATACAACTTTCTAGTGAAAAAACTTTAGGTCTTTTATACATATTGTCTAGAAACACAAGTCTAACCCGCAGACATATGGACGTACAGGTAGATGAACATTAAAATTCCAAATTTCCTACATAAAGGGGGGACAATAAAAAAAATTATGTGTACTTAGACACCGCCTACCTTCCTCTTACAACCACTCAGCCACATGAACGGCGAATTCATTTTCTGAATCACAGCACCTCTGCCTGTTCTATTATGCATTATCAAGCTCAATATGGTGCCTGCGAGTGGGACAAGGGATACAGTTGTGGATCCTCGCTTTTTCGACACACTGCTATGATACCGCTTTCTAGTTAGGGATGAGATGACAATATCCACCAGAGATGGGCACATGCTTTTCATTTGATCCATATATTGCTCCCAAGAAAATCCCATCACATTCTGAGAGAAAATATCATAAAAGTAATGTAAAAAATTATTATAATATTTACTTTACCCAAAAAGTATCAGTACTCTTTAGAAAACAGAAAAAAAATCCCCATATTATCTGTACACCCCTACTAATGTTATTGTGATTTAAATTCAAGACACGTGGGTTAGCTTTACCTATTCGAAGGCGATAAGGTAGAACCGGTTTTATAAATAAAATTGGCAGTAAACAGGGAATTGTTACAGTTTGTTTCTTTTGAAAACATGTCCTGTGAAAAATGTGTTTCCAGACCTTCCTGAAAGACTTTCATGATTTTCAACAGAAATGGGTGGCTAAAAGGGGGGGGGGGGGGTTAAATACGGTAACAATTAAAATATCTAACCGTATTTTACTGCAAAAATTACAGCTCGCTAGCGACCGATACGCTGGTAAAAATTTATAATATCATCTACACTGACAAAACTTTTTTTTCCTTATATGGCTATTGCTATCAATGCGCACAGAGGATCTTACCACTAGCAACTGACCAATAATTTTTATTGTTGATTGAATATTGTATGATCATGTCAATGGAGTGCAAAATAAGAAAAAATGTTCGTATGAACAAAATGCAAACATTCGAAACTATGAAAGATATTTTAATTTGTTGTAAACTAGAAAAAGAAATATTAGTAAAATGTATACTAGTTAGTGTCAAGTTCAGAACACCAGCACTTCAAGGGTACGGAAGATGAGCAGCTTCTCGTATGCATTTAAATGGACAAAATTTTTACATGACTGCACTCGTGATCACGTGTGCTGGCCAGGGAATCCACCTGACAATTGTATTCACCGATAGTAGAATAAAGGAATTTATAAACCGTAAAATTCCTGGATTATTCGTAGTAACCTACAATGCAGTTCTCATTCAGCTGATTTGTCAGCTAAAGTCACATTGGTGCATCCTTTGCTAATCTGACGCCACAAAATATAGTCCCGGTTTCCATGCAAAATATTTGTCCAAAAAGAAATTTTTTATTTCATTACAGCAGATAATTGTATCATAGAGAATACTTATAAATTAAATTTT